ACAATTGGTGGCTGACTAAATACTTTTTAAGTGGGAGAACATGCCACAATTGGTGGCTGACTAAATACTTTTTTGTCCCACTGTAAATAAATAATAAATAAATAAAATTATTAAGAATGTGGTGCATTTAGATGAAACTGATTTTCATGAATCATGTCATTCAGTCATTTATGCATGAAATTGAACAAATAAATAAAATCAGAGGTCATTCCAAGTCTTGGAGTGGGATATCATTAATGTGCTGATGACACCCAGCTCCACTGCCCTCTATTGTCTAACTCCTGGATGATGGGTTGGATGAGGGAGAACAAGCTGTAATTAAACCCAATGCTATGAGGAAAGAAAAATATGGACTTTGCGACTGAGATGAAACCTATCCTGGATGAGATTGGGCCTCTCTAGAAAGCGGAGGGTTCCTTTTTGAGAGTGCTCCTTCATCTCTATTTGTCACTAGATTTGCAGGTGGTGGCTGTGATGCCAAGCAGAATTGCACATTCATGGCTAGAGCATGAAATATAACCCTTCCTAAACTGGCTGGACCTAGCGAGAGTAATCCACATCTTGGTTACTACTGCAATGTGCTTTGCATGGGACTACTCTCAAAGTATATCCAGAAACTGTAATAAACACAAAATGTAGGAGCCAGGCTGCTGACTGGTAAAAGGATCATATGATGCCTGTATTGAAAGATCTCCATGGCCACCAACTGCCTATGGGACGCAACTGAAGGTGCTGTATTGACCTTTAAAGTCCTAGATAGCCTAATTATCTATGGGATTCACTGTACTGTTTGGTACAGTACTTAGATCAGCAGGAGAAGCTGTTCTGAAGATGGCCTGCTGCCAAAAGCATAAATATCAACAAAACCAATGACTTTAAGGAGATTTCACTGTTTCTTTGTCTAGGGCTTTATTCCAAAAAAAAAAAAAAAGGAATCACAGAGATTTTCAAAAAATAATCATAAGCCCTTTTTTTTATTTTGGCTTTTTAGAAGTTGACTGAGCTGACAAAGAAATACCCTTTAGAAATGTCTTGAAAGAAAAGTATAATATAAGACTTTCTGGATGCTCAATTATTCAGCATATGAAATGAAAGTATATGTAATAATGCATACAGTCAAAGTATTTAGTACTAATGAAAAAACGAACAGCCAGGTATCCCTTTGTTTGAACCTATATCCACCAATTATTAAAACGAGATTTTCACACAATTTTAGCATTTTTCCTGCCTCTTTTAAAAGAAGGAAAACACTACTGGAAAGCATTTCCTGAAGCTTGATAAAGACACACCAGAAGTTATGAAACTGCACTGCAAGTAATTTCCTTAATCTATTTATATCCTCTTGAAATAGCGTGGATGACAATTCAGTGGGGAATTACTGCAGATCTAGTAGGCATTAGCAGTTGCCAGCGCTAGACCATGGCTAACTAAATGGCACTTGCTGCTATGCAGAAGGTCAGCAGGAGGACTCTTCTATGTACTTATCTAAGTTATTTCAACAGCAAATCAAGAGAATGTAGAAACTTGAGACTGTACCGTATCTTGGTGAGAATCCACATGAATGTTAGATGGCACCAAAGAGATATGGAGAACTACCAGATATTCTAAGCTGTCATCAAGTTCTTGTCTTTCTGTCTGCAAAACTGGGCTGAGTTTTGCAGCCCAGTTATGTAGCCCTAGCTGAAACAATATTTGCAATCTGGCGCTGAAGGTTTCTTTTAACCTCAAACATGTTAACAACCAAATTATATGTTAAAATAAATATATATGAAAGGTAGTCTGGTAAAGTGGTTAATGTGCTGACCTGGAACTGGGAAGACCCAGGTTCTGGCCTACTCCCATCCATGGAAGCTCATTGGGTGATTCTGAGCTAGTTAGTCCAACCTTCTGGGTTCTTATTATGGGGAAAAACAGAAGGATGGAGAACTATGTATGGTGCCTTGAGTTCCTTGAGCTCCTGTACAAAAAATTTAATCAATCCATCCATCAAAGGTGTATAAGGAGTATACTGTATGTGTGTAAAAGAAAGTAAGAGCAAGAAGAGAAGATTCTGGGACAATTCAATCCTTGGTTCCTTTTTGGCTCTTAGCCCCTGCTATATAGGCTCTAACTACTTTACATCTGCACTCACTTTCTGTAAATTTATCCTTGCAATAGTTAATAAGGGTTGTGTTTTAAGCATTCTTAACATTTCAAGCACAAAAGAAAACACTTCCTTACCTTTCCACTCATCTATAACCCTTTCTTTATTTTCTATCGATTCATCATACAGCTCTGCCTCTGGTTCATCCTCAGGATCATGATACTGAGCAAAATAAGGATGCGCAAGTGCTTCTGAGGCTGTTATTCTTTTGTCACTGTCCAGGATGAGCATCTTCTCAAGAAGATCCACAGCTAGGATATTAAAAATTGAACTAACAAAGTGGCTAACCAATTTTATATTAACTAATAAGAAAGCCTAGATATTTTGGATTTCATTGTCAAGTTTCCCAACCTAATCTTAGACAGCAATGTTTTTTTTTCTTTCTGCTTAAGATATAAATTATTTCATTTCATTTCCAATAGAAAAGAATATATGTGGCTCAGAGTTAAACTGTGGAGTCCTTGATGCTCTCTGAACCTGGTTGTTTGCTTGCAGACATTTCATTACCCAACTAGGTAATATCATCAGTGCTAGATAGTGTGGGGTTTGCTCCCTGTTTATATAAAGCAGCTTGCCTTTCCTGTGTTGGTGGGGGTGTGGTTTTCTCCTTGACTAGGGTATTGTTTTCTGCTTGATTGTTTGTCTGGTGTTAATCCCTGCTTATCTGGGTTTTGGCTGCTGGAGGGGATGTGTTCTGGTCTTTTTGTTTCCTTCTTAGCTTTTTTATTGTGTCTTTTGAATGGAGTGTAAATGTGGTTTATCTCTATGTGTCTATTGATGGCTGATTTGTCTAAATGCCAAGCTTTCAGGAATTCCCTATCATTTTTGGATTTAGCTTAGTCTAGGATGCTCAGTTTCCCAGTTGAAACTATGGATGAGTCTGTCCATGTGTTGTGTGATTAAGGAGTTTTCATTATGTCTTCTGACTGCTAGTTGGTATTCTACTGTAAGCTACCGCATATAAACAGGGAGCAAACCCTACACTCACTAGCACTGATGTTATCTAGTCAGATAATGAAATGCCTGCAAGCAAACAACCAAATTCAGAGAGCACCAAGGACTCAACAGTTCATTTATCAAAAGGAAAGAAGTGATTACTCAGTTAAGAACTGATTACTCTGATTAGTATCTGTAGTTTTTCAAGTGGCTATTTGTGTGTATTCACACATTTGGATTAGGCAGGTACATAGAGATTGGGGAGCAAGGAGTTTATGGAGATGAATCTGGGACTAGGACTTCAAGAGTAAAAGAGATTTCTCCATGAAGAAGATAAGGTTCTGATGTAAGGAATATAGTTTTCTTGCCTGCTGAGTCAAAGTGACTGATGCTGCCATTTTTCCATAAAAAGAGATGAATGGAAATGGAAGCAATCAGTTCCAAAGGCTTTGATGTATGTATGGAGAGAACCAGGGAAAGATCCCATGTGATGTAATTTTCATTCATGGCTAGAAACACAAATCACTATGTGGACACCACTTTCCTCTCCTTTTTCTCCTTTCTGCCCTGATCAGGACCAGGTAAGACAGAACTTTTAGCAGATTCTGGCCATTAACTGAATAATTTACCTAGTGTTAACATTTAACAATCCTGTATATGGCCATCAGGAGAAACGGGCTCATGAAAGTGTTTGAGATGAACTATCCCCAGTGATTTTCGAAATACAGTAGGAACTTTGAATGAAGATGAAGGGGCCATCATAGCCTCAGAATCTGTCACTCAAAGAGGTTGCTCCCATAGAATGGCTCGGAGGTGAGAGAAACAATTGTTCTAAGTCTGTCTGATAAATGCCTAGCAGCACTTACAAGAGTTCACTGTGTACCATCTGCAAGGTATAAGAGGCAAACATGTTCATTCAAGATGGAATTTTGCTACTGCAATTTTGGCATCTGTGGAACCAGGCCTGCAAGGCTCTTGGATGGACCTACGTCCTACAATCCCTCGATGCATGACTTAAATAAAGTATAATTAAATTATTTTACAATTAAATACAAGCTTAGAGAAGAAACATGTTCTTGCTGTGACATTTGAAAAAGAAGTGAAAGGATTCAGTGGGTGGTGCATCTCAATGTGTGCTCTGTGCAGGATAAGGATCCCACCAAGGGCTTCTGTCAGATCCCAGACAGGCTCTGCGCTGGTGTATAAGCCATGTGGATAAATCAGAGAGACCCCAATGAAGAACTTAGCATAGCAGCCATATTATTCTATGCAATACATTTTGCATTCTGTTATCAATTGTTAAGCATGTGGAATGTCAAAAGCTGTGTTGAATGGAAAAAAGAATTGATTCCTGTCCATTAGCATATTAAAGAAATAATTTCTATACATAAATGTTTTCTATAACTAATGCTGTCTCTAGGTAGACAGAGATAGAGACATTTAATCCCATGAAACCAAAATGCATTACGTAAATCTAGGGTTTCCCAATATGGTGCTCGTGAACACTGGATGTTTTGTGATTGGACACCCTCTCCCAGAGTGCTCATTTTGTGGATGGACAAGCCCCTTGCAAAGTACCTGTTTTGTGATATACCCACAACACGTTCTATAAATTCCAAAGGTGCCTACCACTTTGAAACATTTGGGAATCTTGCCATAAAGGATCCTTTAATTATTCACATAATAGCTTGTGAATCACTATCACTATTTTTACTCTTATTCCTTCTTATCTATTTATATACTATCCCTTTTCCCCAAAGATGTCCCAGGCATCATACTCAACATCAAACATACAATATAATTAAAGAGATATAATGATAGGTTTAAAGATAGAATAGTACTGAAGGAGCAATTCATTTGGAGTTCCTCTGTACCCAATACAATCTGTATAACCAGTCTTAGTATTAAATGGAAGATATTTGGACATTTACAGTAATGATTTTTCCTCCCCATTTAAAATGACTATCCCTCTCTAGAACAATAGTAAATATTAAATATTTACCTAATGGGTTTGCTCCACGAAATACTACTTTCAGATCCTGTTGAGGCATATATGGTAGAGATTCTATATATTTTCTGGCCTGAAAAAGTGAAATTGCATAAACATGCATAAATTAAAAGTTTGTGATCAAAAGGAAATATTCACCCTTGAAAGTATGATTTGTGACTGCATTCAGTTACAATCAATTGTCTCCAAAGATTTATAAAGTTTACGAATTATACAGTAGAATGAGAAACAGAAGATCAAAGTATTTTCATCTTCGTTCATCTCATTTCTGCTTAATGTAAATTTAAATTAGATAGTATAACATTTCTGAGATTACTAGCCTCCTTAATTACATACACATCTGTAAAGAGAACAAGGACAACTATGATTACAGCAAAGATGCCATAATTTTCTATTCCAATAAGATCCACATGAGTTGCACATTGTCACTATCATTTAATGGGGACCACCACTATAAAGGTCAAAGGAGACTATACAGCACTAAAAAGACCAAAGTGGCATTCTGTCTTGCATGCAAAAACTACAGAGGAGATTTTCTGGCATGTGTTGGGAAATGTCTGGCAGAATTCTGATGGAAAGAGATGTGACAATAAGCAAAGTATGAGAAGTTCAATGTAGCCTTATATATGGGCAGGCAGTGTGCTCTTCAGCAGACATCCTCCAGCAAGTCAGAAGCCAGTATAAGCCAACAATGATTAGATTTCTGCGCAAGTGAACAATGGATGTAAATAGTGGGCAACTTCAGTCTTCCAAGAGATATTACTTCCAACCTCGAAATCACCATATTTTGCTACAAATTACATTAAAGGGAGATGACCACATGAAATGTGTCAACTGACATTTGCCAACATTCATTTGTCTATAAATAAAACTTTATTTAAATTTTCTGTGACTGGATCATTCTAATATGCAAGTTGTCAAATGAAAACATTTCATGTCTTATATGCTTCAGATAAATAATATGCTTCAAATATATATACTTCGAGTTAATAGAGATTCATATGTTAAACAAATGCAGCTTATATGATGAACATTTAAAAATGACAATATAGACTTACTGTGGAAATTACATCTTCCTGAAGGATGGCACTGCCCTAAAAACGTTTCTCTATAGAATTTTCTTCACAAATTGGTTAGATGTGTTAACTAGAAATCAAATGTCTTTTATTGGTTGTTTGGTATTCAGAAACCCACAGTGGGATCTTGTTAAAAACACCTAACATTTGGAGATCACTTAGATTTGAAAACCAACAATGACTTGATAAAAACATGCAACTGAAAACAATACTGTCAGGAAGTCAGTATCAGTTATATAATGGATTAAATGAAGAATTAATTATTATGCTGTTAATACATCATACTTACATGCTCTGATGATATTTTCTTGAGAAGTTCAGAACTGGGCGTACCAACTACTTCCATTATTCGTTTCAGCTGGTCAATGTCTGTAAGAGTTTAGGAAAACTACCACAAAGATAGGACAGATAGGGAAGAAGTTGTAGGCACGTATAAACTGCCAACATGCAATATTTATTTATTTATTTATTTAATTTATTTATTTAATTTGTCCCTGCCCATCTCCCCACAATGGGGGACTCTGGGCGGCTTAC